ATAAACTTTCTGCTGTGTAAAATCTCATATTTTGTGAAGTAAATGTGACAATCAAATGCTTGAGAACAATTGAGCCTCTTGTATACACCATCCACTTAGTTTCTGATTTTCTTCGTCTCGAGGTTTTGGGACGAAAGAAAGACCTCGTCGGAGTCGACTTTGAGAGAAGACTCCACTTTGCCTTTTATTCCAAAAGTTAAGTAAAAGCTCTGAATTTTTTGAATGAATTGCGTGTACTGAAAATTTTCCTCGTCAGTCAAAAACATCTTTTCATATAAAAACTTTTGAAACGAAATTAATAATTGTCTTTCGCCATAATACACAGAAACACAAATTTGTGTTGCATCCAATTTGGTAGTACAATGTGGAGTAAAAAGTAGAACAACTTGTTTCGTTGTACCTCTTGAGAGTATTTGCGTTTGAGGGCAAAAGTGAATGGAATATTTATTTTCATTTGGAGAGTGAAATATAATTAACACTGGCTTCGTCGAACGATTTGTTATTTCAAAAATTTCGTATACAGTATCGTCTATTTTTAACGTTTTTCCTTTCATCCCAAAAGTGGCATATTCTTTATTTAATGGAAAGTTGTTATCGCCAAATTTAAGTTCTTTGAGTTTCAATGAATCGAAGTAATAATTTGGTTGTGGGTATTCAGTTGCTTCGTTAATGTTTTTCACGATAAAACGCTCTTTCTGTGTTATTAAAATAATGAAAACGGTCATTATAATAAAAAAGAGTAACAATACACCACTTCCTATTGTCACAAAAATGATAACTAATAAGTAGTTTTCCTTCATACAACTTCCTGTGTTATTTTGATCTTTTGTATACCCGTTGTAACACAGACAATACATAGAATCACAGTTCTCTCCTAAATCACATTCTTCTTCATCGTGATCTATAACACCATTTCCACATGTTTGAATGACACATTTATTGACAACGAATGTATATCCTTCTTCACAAACGCAATTTGGCATACAATGAGTATCTGTATGTTTACACAAGTTGTTAAAATAAAGACTATCCGAGTTGTTATAGCACTCAGCAGACACACAGTAATGTTTATAGAGAATAGTGTTGTTAACACAATTGCAGTCAGAGTCACACTGTTTGGTACCATAATAACACTTCTCTTCTATATTTGGAATTGTCCATTCGCTGTTATAATAACACAATTTGTGGCAATCGTCTCCACCATAACTCGCATTCACACAAACACACTTGCCAAATTGTACACTGCAATTACCACCACCTTCATTTTCACTGCATTGATTTGGGCAAATAATTTTCATGGAGAGGTCGGTTCTCATTAAATTGTTTCTCGAAAACAATTTGAAAATTTTGTCGTCCAATTTCGTTTCATTTGGAGAAAACAAAAAGCCAGTCTCCGGATTCAATTTCCAAAGATCCCGCCGCATCCGGATGCCAGACTCACAACTGCATTTCCCATACACATTCGTCACATTTTCACATTTGATATATTCAAATATTTGCGTTTCACTACTCGAGCTTGAAAAAAGTATTCGACTCCCTAAAGGAACATCACCAGTCAGCCGGAAATAGAAGAATTTGTATGCAAAAGTCTGCGAAGAACACGCTCCAAAATCAGAGACTCCAACTTGTGCAAAATCGACATGTCTAGTAATGACATTTTGAGTCAAATTTGATACATCAAAAACAGGGAAGTTAAGGTACTGCAACATATTTTCTGATGTCATAAGAGTGACTGTAATTTCACATTCGAATGCGTTAGACATCCCAACGAATACAGTGAAGTTGGTTTCAGTGTTTCGAGTTCGTGAGATTAAATAGCCCAATTTGTCTTTGACATGAGTTGTTGAAAAGCACTTGGGTTCAGTACTATTGTTCACTATATCATGAGTCAAATCTACTTTAATAACCCCTTCACTGATATTCTTCTGAACTAAAATGTTTGTATAATGCTTATTTTTATCGGGTGGAATATAGATCTTAAAATACTTTCCAAACCGATATAAATTATTGGTGTCTTCGTCGTGACATATTGATAACACCGGAGTTGTCTCTTTTGATATTAAAAAGGTTTTTGGTTCGTTAAAAAGTAGGGTTTCGGCATTATCGGTGTTATAATAAAGAGTCGCATTGTCAGTTTTTGTTACTATGCAATCGTTGTTGAACATTAAAACTAACGGATTTGTATTGGAAAAGTTTTCATATGGATTGAATAACTCACATTCAGTACACGAGGCAGTTTGTCTGTACGTGTCTTTACATTTTGAACACACTTCTTCGTTTTTGTTTTCTGGTGTGTAACATCCAAGACACCCAAACCCACAATAAGCTAAGGTTTGAATTGTATAAATTAAAATTGAAGAGAAGAAGAGCATTGCTTTTATTTTTTTATATTTAAATAAATCAAGTTTGATTGTGTTTTTAATGAAGTTACTTTTTGTTGAATGAGTAAATGGCTTTTTTTAACTACCAAAAAAACGAGCTATTGTTATTAGTATTGTTTGAAAAGAAATTAACAGCAAATTCAATAAAAGACGTCAATGGCAAAATAAAACTAAATTCTAGAAAACTGTTTCATATTTGCAAATAATAACCTTTTAATTTTAAAGTTGATCCAATGTATTTAATAAACGTTTTTGAACAATAATTGATTCGATATATTTACCAATTTGTATATTTATCTGAAAATATTCCAAAACCCGTTTTTTATTCAAAATATAATTTAAATAATCAATTTTTAATTGATTAATAACTTCATTTATTTTTAAAAAACAATATTATTCATACTAAAGTTTTTAAATTAATATATAACAAAAATTAATTAAAACTAATAGAAATAATAATTATAATTAATTATAGTATTTTTTATATAAAAATATTTACCAAAAATTAAGATTGATTCTGTATAGAAGGCATTTATAATTATAATACAAATTAAATCAATAAATATGAAAAATTTATATATTGGTGTGTTATTACATTCAAAATCATAAAAAAAGACTATTGATATTTTAAAGTTTTTTTTTGATGTGACTAAAAACTATTTAAATTGATTTGGTAATTAATTGATAAATTATTGAGAATACAATTAAAAATATTAAAATTCAAAAAATTCAATTAAATGAAAGATCAGACAAATCTTTTGGGGCAAACAGGAACGTGTTTGGCTGTATAAGTTGCATAACACGCCAATTGTGAACACAATTCACAATATTCTGTTTTGCAATTTGGACAAGTCAATGCAACACAACCAGATACTTTTACACCAGAAGCTCCACATTTAGGACATTTAGGCATGTTCTTTTTAAACAAATCTCTTGACGCTGGATCTTTTTTGTAATACTCACATATATGTCCAGTGGTATATTGACACCAACAATCAGAACAAGTCAATTCATTACAATATGAACAAGTGATATATTCTGGTTTCAAACTCGGTACATTTAGAATAGCTTTACATTTATAACAATGGAATGTTTGGTCATTTATTACATTTGTATAAATTTGGTTCATTGTGGAGTCAAATAAAGAATTGAGTTGATCTTTCGTGTAAAATTGAGAACAACTTGGACACTTGAATTTGGTGTTCGAATTCCTCAGTTGAGTTGTCACAGTATCACGGCTACACCCTAGACAAAACGAATGACCACATGGAAACGTGAAACTTGGGGAAAGATTTCCATAACAGATTGTACAAGTCATTGTATGAAATTAATAGTTTTTAATTATTTTTAAATGATTATTCTTTAAATAAAATTTTTTAATCAATCTTTTGTTTCAAAAAAGTCATTTATTAATTATTATATTACCTCATATCAACATTTTTAATAAAAATTTATTATTAACAAATGATATTTTTTAATCATTGTTATATTTTTATGGAATGAGTTTATATTATTGTAATTAGTTTCAATACCAACATTAAAATATTAAATATGTTTTTACAATATCATTAATTGATAACATGAAGTTTGTTATATATAACAAGATTTATAGACTTTAAAAAATTATCTAGATTATTTGACCAACATTTCCTTTGTCAATAACATTATATAATTCTCAATTTGTGATAAAAGTTCATTGATATCATCTATAACAATTATAAAAGTAGTTAATTAGAGTTATGTTTTTTTGTAATTAAACTGTATTACAGTGAATTAATTCACTGTAATAAAATGTAATTTTTATTATTTTTTATAGTTTTTATGTTAATATCGTTTAATAAGTACTTAAGTTATAATTATTCTCAAATATCATTGTTATTTATGTCGTCATTATAATCACTTCATTATTTTATAGTTTTATACATAATAAATTCAATTTTATAAAAAAAACTTTTTTTTAAACTTGTATTGCAGTTTTTTTTTCTTATATAAATTATCACAAAGATGATGTTTTTATAAATAATAATAAAAGTATGGATAAACTTTCATGTGCTGACATTGTATTAGTTTCAAAATTCTTTTTAACTTTCAATGATTTTATCACACTCGTTTTAGTTAATCGAAAGTTCTCGTATCTTATGCAAAGGCTATTTTACAACCCAATCGAAATTGACGCAAAAACACTCAATTGTTTCCCTAACATCACCACACTTAACTTATGGTCTCCTAAAGCAAACACTTTTACAAAATTTAAGCCAAATAGTGAAATACAAGAAACTTTAAAACTTGTAATATGGTACACTGTCGACTATCAGTCATCTCTCAAATTAAACAAGTTGGGATGTGTCACAAAAGTGATTGAATACACATCAAAAAATCGCAATAGATTTGGCAATGAAATACAACTTGATGTATCGCGACTTGGAGTTTCTTGTTATTCAAAGTGCACAAATCTGAATTCAATCGTAATACCTGAACGAGTGACACACATTGCAGATTGTTGTTTTGAAGGATGTGTATATCTCAGTTCAGTAAGTATACCACAACACATAACAAGAATTGGGAATTCGTGTTTTAGAGGATGTTCACTCTTGAAATCGATCATACTTCCAAATAATATTAAACACATTGGAATTAACTGTTTCAGAAATTGTGTGAAACTGAATTCAATAAACATGCCAAGTAGCATCACGTATTGGAAAGGAGTGTTTCAGGCATTGTTTCAAGTTAAGTGCAATGACAATACCAAAATCATTTTCTACATTGAATTGTGCTTGTTTGTATGGGTGTACCAGTCTCCAATCAATTGATATACCTCAAAGTGTTTCTATTATAGAAGATGCTTGTTTCTATAAATGCTCCAAAATGAGTCAACTTACGTTACCAGAGAAAATTAGAGTACTTGGGTGTGCATGTTTTTATGAATGTATCAATTTAAATAAATTGCTAATTCCCCAAAACACAGAGAAAATAGAAAAAGGGTGTTTCAGTTTTTGTCACAATTTGAAAACAATTCAAATTCCATCAAATGTGACAAAAATAGGAAAAGAATGTTTTTGTGAATGTTGCAATTTGTCTTCAGTAACTTTGTCCACAAGTGTCACAAAAATTGGGAAAAGCAGTTTTTATGGATGTATCAATTTGGTATCAATTAACATCCCAACTTCCGTTTTACAACTTGAAGACGCTTGTTTCTATGGCTGTTCTAAATTGAGTGTCATCGACATCCCTGAAAATGTATCTGAGATTGGGAAGTGTTGTTTTTATGGATGTTCCAACTTGATGTTATTTCGAATTCCAATTAATATCGCTCAAATATGTGATTCTTGTTTCAGTTACTGCTCCAAATTGAGTCACATCGATATACCAAACACCGTTTCTCAAATTGGCAAATGCTGTTTTTATGGATGTGCAAATGTAAGTTCACTCAGAATCCCACAGAATGTGACTGAAATTGGATGTGCATGTTTCTATGGGTGTGTAAATCTGAATAATATTCGTATCCCAAAAAATACAATAAAAATTGGCGACTTTTGCTTTGGCAATTGTCCTAAGCTACGTACAATTTATATACCAAAAACAACCAAATACAACGAGTTCTGTTTTTATGGAGTGCCTAATACAACTTCAGCCAAAATTATAAAATACGACTCAAAACCAAGATGCGTCAGTGTGTTATGATGAATTTGTCATTTGCATTATGATAAAATGTTATAAGTAAATATACACATTATAAAATCATCATCATTTTCAAAAGTATTGAACATCAAATAATGTCTGCGTTGATAATTGTTATATCATTCATATTTTGTTGTTCTTGTTTGAAATATAAACTGCATAGTGTTGATAATTGTTATATGATTTATTAATTTTATATTGATAATTAATGATGATGTAAACTATTCATAATATTTAAAGATAACATAATACTAAACGAGTAGTGAATTAGAATACATCTTATTTCTTCTCCTCCTTCTCTCAGCGGC